ATCATAGATAATAATAATTGATTTTAAGTCTAGGTAAATTTAAAGATTGAGAGTTTGGAAATTTAGTTTTTTATAGGCATTATAAAATCTTTCTCCGCTCACTGAATCAATCTTTTTAGTTCTGAAATATATTTCTTCTGTCTGTCAGAAGCCTTTAGATGGTTTTCCATTATCTTGGTGATTCTACCCTTAATTAGAAGATTTGGGATTCAGCGATTGGGGATATCCATTCCTTAAGGGGTAAACACAGCTATGTAGCTAGTGATTTTCTTTGGGAGGCCGATACAAGTAAAAGCCTGAAAATCATATTTCATTTTCTCATAATAAAAAATTCATAGAAATATTGTTCATTTTAATTAAAATAACACATTTCGACACCTAATAATTTTTGTTATAGATTAAGGTTTACTTTATAACGATTTAAATATTAAAAATCAATTTATTAATAAAATGAGGGATTATTTAAAATACAAATATTATATTGCTTAATTATAAATGATATATTTTATAATTATTACTATTATATTACACATATAAATTGTGTAGATATTACAAATGCTAAATATATAATAAAATAGAAATTTTATGCAATATTGTAAAAAAATTTTATACAAATATAACAAAATATAAATTTTATGTAAGCTATTATAAAAAATTTATAAATTCAATGGTTGCTAATTTAAAAAAATTACTTAGCTTGCTCTTGATTAAAAAAACTATTATAAATTCAATACTATATTAAAAAAGTGTATATTTTATATTTATATATTTAATTTAATATGAAGCCAAGACTTCTTAAATTATTTGAAGATACTGAGGTAAATGCCACAAACATTTTTCTACCAATATTTAATAGTTGTTTAATTTGGGTGCATAACATTGATAAACCTAGGCTACATTAATGACACGTTAGCCTTGAGATCAATATGTGATCATTATAAAAAAAAATTATTTTACCATTATTAAAAACAGTTATAACTCATTTTAAATTAAAATTTGCTGGGTATAGCAAAATAATAAATATTTCAATTTTCTATTATTAACATCCTCTCAACAATTGGTTATTACCAATAAAAAAAATGTTAAGCATTATGAATCCGACATTATCGGAGGTTATGAGCAGCTAAAATCAGATACCGAACCCTGGTATTATAATTTAAGTGCTATCATTCCATCAGAGCGTCCCAGCAATCCTGTTGATGCATTACAATTATTTCAACACACTTTAAACTTAACCAATATTAAAACGCTTTTAGTAATATTGGCCACCACACTTCCTATCACCACTTGCACTAATGAGCGGTCATTTTCTCCATTAACTAGACTTAAAAGCTATATGAGGGCAACCTCTGGTCAGGCGAGAACTAATGGATTGGTTCTTCTAATACAGAAATATTAAACCCACCCCAAATGACGTCATAGAATAAATGGCTAAAGGACCACTTAAAAATTAAATTAAATTTATGAATATAAAATATACAACTTTTTAACATAATATAGAATTATAATAGTTTTTTAATCAAGAGCAGGCTAAATATTCTTTTTTAAATAAACAATCATATAATATATTTATAAAAAAAATTTACAATAACTTATATAAAATTTATACTAATTTGTAAAATATATCCAGTATACATTCACTTAATCTTTACTCATCTAATATTTCTTGAACCTAGCCTGTTACATGTTAAGTATCTATTTAGCATGGTATTTGTTCTAGGTTTATTTTAATACTTTGAATCTCATAACCTAGAGTTAGATGAAAGATTCGTATGGAAATGGCTAATGGACGGGATCACGAGTCTGAGTTGCCAAAACCCAGCAATACTGAGATACGTTCATTGAGGAGAATTAGATTGTGTTATGTTTGTGGCGTCATTGATCACTTACAAATTCGATGCCCTCGTGGGCCAAACAATGCAAAAACGAGAGGGAATTTTCGAAGACGATATCATCAGGGACATAGAAGAGAAAGAAGCAATAGTAAGACATGAGGTAAGGCATGTAATTCGGGCAATGTTACCCTCTTTGATAAGGAGGAAAAATCCGCAAGCGATAATTTCAGGGGAGACGGGGACCGATCGACCAGTGGCGGTAGTGGAGCCGTCACATGAGTCAACAGTGGATATAAATCTCAAAGGAGGATATCTGGAAGAATGGCCGGTAGTAGATCTATCGGTCGAGGAGTTGGAGGACTTGTTAGGGGGATAGTAAGGCAGTTTTTAATTTTATTTTTGGCGTGCAATTTTTTTATTAGATAATAAAATATATATATATGATTTGTTTTAAGTTAAAAAAAATATATATTTTCCAACATAATAATTTTGTTTTTGTTTATGTGTAACTAAAAACATATGTATTATGAGATTAATAAATAACTGTATTTTCAAAAAAATATATAGTACATTTGATTTCAATTAATGGGGGCATGTTGTAAATATTTTTTTGCTCATCATTATTATTATTATAAATTTATTTTTTTGGCAATATTTTTTTCAAATATAAATTATTTTTTCGCAATATCATTATTATTTTTTTATCAAAAATATAAAAACTAACTAGAAGACAGCCCGTCAAAAATGACGGGGAATGAGAATTTTCTTCTTACTTTTATGATAGTTGATACCTCTTATTTGAAAATAATATCCAATCATTATTCTTTTAATCCCCCCCCCTTTCAGGCCAGGTTTAATCCATTAAAACTAAGTGTAAATACTATGGTTTAGTAAAATTAAATTTAAAGCTTTTACTTAATAATACCAATATTATTTGTTAAATATTACTGATCATTTATACCTAATATTTAATATTAAAAAGTACAAAATCATAATAATATTGTAAAATTCTTCCAAGCCCAATGAATATTATAATTTTGGTAGTTGAGAACTGAAAAAAATATTTAAATAATCATAATGTTAATCAGATTTTCATGGGCCTAGGTTTTTTTATCAGGCCAAGCCCAATGACTCGTAGTTAATAATAAAAAAATTCTCGAGCATTCTAGCTCATAATATTTTTGAAAAATTTTCCCCAAGCCCAGCCTAATATAATTTATAAAAATATTTTTCAAACCCAGCCCAACCTATAAAAATTTTATAAAAAAAATTTTCCCAAGCCTGGCCAACCCATAGTAATTTTCAAAATTTTTTCCCAACCCGGGAGATAGGTAAATCTCTAAAAACCATATCTATTTTTTATACCCCTACTTCAGACAAATGCCAACCCATTAATACTGAGAATGAATACTATTTTTGAATAAAAATATATTTAAATTAGCTTTTACCTGAGGGCCATATAAATATTCTGTGTTAAATATTACATCTATGCCTAATATTAAAAAAATTCACAAGCCAGGTCCTCGCACTTGGGAAAATTTTCGCAAAAAGACCATAATAATTTTGATAGTTGAGAACTGAAATAAAATATATAAAAAGTCACAATGCATTTAAAAATACAATCAGAATCAGAATATGAAAGTTGCATGGGCCTTGGTTTTTGATCAGGCCTGGCCTCCAAAAAAAATTTTCAGGCCAATTTTTAACCCATATTTAAAATTAAAAAATTTTCAGGAATCTAAGACTATATTAATTTTAAAGAATGTTTCCCAATCTACTTCCAAGCCCATATTAATTGTGAAAAATATTTCCCAAACCCAGGAAAACTCAAAATAATTTATTTTTTCCTTGGATCCAGAAAAATAAGTGTGATGTAGGGGTTTATAAGAATTAAATCTACCAAGCTAAAAATATGTTCATCCTAAAATTTTAAACAAACCACCACCCTTGCAAATGATTTATTACTTAGTTACAAAATATAAATTTAAGACATTGTTATTTAATTACAATAGAAAAAATAAAAAGATATTCTAAGTTAACATATAATAGGAGGTTAACTTTAATCATAGTCAAATTATATATAAGTAAAACAAAAAAGTTATACATTTAATCGAAAATGTTATAAGTTATGAAAAATATACATTCTACAATTAAATTATGAAGTTATGAGAAAATATACAAAACTATGGAATGCATGTAGAAAGGCCAATTTCAGAAAAGATAAGAGAGATGCAAATATTACTTATGCATAAAAATTACCTAATTAGAGATATAAAGTTGTATAAAATTCAATGTGGAATGGATCCTTCTTAAGGGTTTTAACATAAAACTCTCATCAAGCAATAATAAATTTTTAGATTATAAAATACAAATGAATAAAAATTTAATTTAAAAGACTTTTTAATTGTACACATAAATTAAAATTACTAAATATATACTTTATTAACATATCTTATAGATTAATTTTGTCAGATTAAGAAAAAAAAATATTTTACCAGACTAAGAAGAAAAAAAATTTGCCGGGGTTCGAACCAAAGTCCAATAATCCATCTAGATTTGTAAGCGAAGTTCTTGCCCGATTGGGCCATAGGCACTTTTCAAAATTAACGATTTTTGAATATATATTAGTGTGATATGAAAAGTGTGACATGATTTTGTGACAAGGCTTTAATATATATTATAGATTTAAAACGATTTATCATTATCATATTTTATCAATTTTTCATTTTTTTATTATTCATCTTGTGCAGGAAAAAAATATATATTCAAGAAATAAAAGTAAAGAAAAATATAAAGAAATAAAATTTAAATTTATAATTGATTAAACTGGGAAATTATCAGTGATATATAAATTTATAGAAAACGGTTAAACCGGGAAAGTTGTTAAACAGTGATAAAACTGGGAAATTATTTGTAAATAATTTTTTGCGAGTCATCACTATTATTAATATATATATTTTTTTGGCAATATTTTTTTATTAATATATAAATTATTTTTTCGCAACTTTCTTTCTTATAAGGGAAAAATAAATAGCAAAATAAAAATTTGATCCCTTTCCCGAGGAAAAACTAAACCCCGCTCTAATTTTAGTCTAATAAAATATATCAAAAATATTTGAATTTTAATCCACCAAAATAAAGTTACAGAAAAGTTAATTTTTTTACCAGTAAAATTTTTGAGTTTAGCAAAGAAGGAAGGGTTAAAAATACAAGAAGTCCCGCTAATTTCTTCAAGCCTATTTTCCAAATCAGTCTTGTGATTCACCAAGTTGGCAGTTATAGCTATGGCCAGTTTTCCTCTGAATTCTTTGCGATTAAAACCTGTGGAAGATATAAACATTAAAGTATTCTATCTCTATTACAATATTAAGCATTTTATAATTGATCACATCGCAATGCATATTTTTCTAAAGACTGCAAATTATTCGGGTTTTTTAGATAAGAAATGGGTAGTAAAGAAATCATTTGGTATAATTTTAAATTTTGACCCAAGTAATTAAGTAATATTTAATTTTTTTTTAAAATTGATTTTGGGTTTTTTCTAACTTCTTAAAGTATATGAACTTAAAATATTAGAAGGGATTGACTAATTACAAATATCTAGGTAAGCTGAACCTTAGGAGGTAAAATTTGGTTTGCGTAAACTTCAACATGAGGTTCATTTAATTATTATGCCTTATAGGTTTATATTTGTTCCTGTATTTAAATCATTTTTACCATTAATAGATAAATATATTACATTAAAAAAAAATAATGTCTCTACCTTGCAAAGTATTCTTTTTACCATCCGCTCCGACTAAAACATCGAATTCGTATTGATTGATAGTGTGATCAGCAGGTTCGAATCTTCCTTTCCATCCTCCGCCTAATAAATGTAAAATGGCGTTTATTTGGTCATAAAAATTTAATTCATTAGACTTATTCGGAAACTTAAATTCAAATAATTTACTCCTTGTTATTAGTTTGGTTGTTATAATAAAGTCTAATTAAAAGAATTATTGCCTCTAGTTTACAATAAAATAAATATGACTGAATACAACTTAAAATTACAAATCATCCAAATACTATACCAAAATATTAGTAGGAATTTAATATTTGTTTAAATTATTAATATTAGCATACCATCTACCAAAAAAATAATAAAAACACCAATCATAAAATCTCCAGCTCAATAATCGTCATATTCTAAATTTTCTGGCAAAATTGAGTTAGAAAAGGGATTTACTTTCAGCTTTTACCATTCATGAAAAATAAAATCCCCACCTCATCCCAAAAGCATATGCTTTATAAGCAAATATATTATTTTAATGGCATTGTTTATCATTTACTAAAGTGCTTTTTATAGAGAAAATAAAATGTCAAAAAGATTTACTTTGATTTGTGGGCTCAACTGTATCTAAAAACTCTACTCCCTCGTGGATATTGACACCAAGTAACAAAGCCACCTTCAATAAAATGCATTGCATCTTACGAATACCTTATTTTTAAAAAAATAATATAGGTCATGCATTAAACAAATATTTTTCTCTAAAAACCTTCAACGGGTTGGTTCGAGCCGACCTGCTTCTAGGATTGGCTAAAAATTCTACATAATTAAGATCGCGATCAACATTCTTATTTTTATTTTTTTTAATCTGTGATTTAAATCATATTTTTACTACTATTTGACTAACTAATTTGACCAAAATATTTAATAAAATTTAATATGTTTTTCAAAATCAAATGTAGCAAATTGCTGCAATAGTAATTATTACTCATTTGTTTATTTTAAAAAAAAATGTAATTAATTGACTTATTTTTATCTTATTTTATTTAATTTTGTCATTGTACAAACTTAGATCTCCAGAAAATCGAATAAAATATTCGTACTCGATTCGTAGTAATGGTATCTGTATGAATCGAATAAATGTATAATTCGTATTCGTACCAATCTAAATACATTATGAATAATTCGATTTTTAAAAAAAACAGATATAAATATAAAAATAAGCTATTCTTTCGGGTATAAAGTTTTCCTAATTGTTTCTTCCTAAAGATATTTCTATTTTTTGTAATTCATATTTGTGTTTATATAAAAATAGACTCTCACAAGATGTAGAAGAACCCTATTATACGATCCTCCTTCTCATTGCATAATCTTAACAATTATATTTTGTTTTTTAAAACAAGTCACTTTTCAGTAAAATAAAAATCACAACAGCAAAGGAGGGTTGCGAAAGGGCTCGATTTAGCCAATTTTAAATCAGCTAAAATAATATTACGCAAGCCTCGAAATATTGTTAATAAATGTTCACTTCTACCACTATGCAAAATCTCCAGGATTGCGTAATTTTTTGGTTAAAGTATTAAGTTACTCGTTTTTAAACATCGAGCCGTTTAACAACACTAACCGCAAGTGGCAAGAGATATAAAATATATGATTACAATGGCTTTGATTTAAAAAAATTATTGGCGGATATTGGCAAATTCAAAAATTAATTAGTAATTCTAATATTTACTAAAAAAAAAATTATGAATAATTAAAATTTATTTGTCAAATTTTTTATTACAAGCAATATAATATTGGTATTTGAATTTAATCGTTGATATAAGAAAAATAATTTTTTCTGTTTTTTCAGTTCTAACGATTCCTCAATTTGAAATGAACCACTCCAAATGATAAAAATACTTTTACTACTGATGCTGATTATGTAAATAATTATTTTTACAATTTTTACAGTATTCTAATCAAGTATTAAATACTATTTGTGCAAAAACCACTCGTTTTATAATTTGAAAACAAAATGTAATTGAATGAGTCATATAGCTTGGAGTTTTACCAAGATAGATAAAAGATTGGTGTTATTGGGTATAGAAATTTGCAAAGTGTTTCAATGCTATTACTGTCTCCTTGGTAGTTAAATGTGAAACATATTTTAGGGTTAGAACATAGAAGATATTTTATTATAAACAATTGTCATAACAAATATTCTCTTAGTGTAGCAACTTTAAATAGGGCTAATACTTCGACTGATAATTATTTTTTTATTAGTCAAAAAAAATAATTTAAAATTTTAACAATTTGATTTGCATCAGGGAATTCCACAATAGAACTCGTTTTAGCAAAAAAATATTGACTCACATTTTTTCTGACTAAAATACAAATAATCGACTGATTAGATTTGCTATATATTTGACATTCGGCCTTATATTTGGTTGGCAAATATCAAATTAGATCGTAGTTTGCGTCTTTTTACAATAAGACCGGTTCTATTGAAGTCTTTATTTGCAAGGTAATAATATAGTATCGTAAGAAAAATAATTTTTCAAGCGACCAATCATAGTCCTTTAATTAAAATATTAGTTATTATTTGATTAAATTCGCTATTTAAATTTTTTTAAATCAATTTTTTCGATTTTTCTAAAAAAATTTACAATTTTTGTTAACTCCTATCTCTAATCTAAAAAAATAAAAGTTTAAAAGATAAAAAAATTGGTTATATTAACCCTCACCCCCCTCCACCGCAAAAAAGTGCGAATATGATTAAGTAAGGAACATAAATAATAGGTAAATGAAACAAAAAAATAGAAGAGGAAAATAAAGATGGAAGAGGAAATTTTTAAAAATGGCTTACTTATGTTATCGATGGAACCGGCGCAAAACTGAGCGAAGAATGTTTTAGCCCCGAGACATTTAAGATCGTGCAAGACGAAGGGCCAGAGATGTATCATATTGTGCCTAGAGAATTGGATTCGCTTCTCGACAACAAGCACATTGCAATTCAGTAGGGCTAACTCGATGGCCGTTCGTAAGCCACAAGGTCCTGCACCTATCACCAGAGCCTAAATTCAAGCAAACATTTGTTTTTTTAACATTCATATCTTATTATATAAGGTTCATTGAATTTTACAACAGTAAAAGTAATTCGAGTTTTTTTTTAAAAAAAAGGCGGGTAAATTTTACTTTTTACAATGGAAAAGAAAGATTAGTGGCCAAGGGAGGAACAGACAAAGATTCGAACCTTTTACAAAATTGTATTTATTTATTATTAATAATCACAAACCCCAGTTACACTTAATTAACAAAACTGAGAAAAGGTTTGATTTTATTAATTAATATTAATAATTTTAAAAAAAATTGTCAACTTTATAATTAATTGGTCAACATTTTTTTTAAAAAATGCAAACCCCTAAATGGCAAATAATTTAAGTAAAAAAGTAATCTTCTAGGATCCCAAATTAGTGTTGGTGTGGCGTATAATGAGATAATTCTGTTCGATTTATAGGTGCCTACCAAACCCCTAGGCCTTGTTCCTCGAGATTGAGATATATTTAAGATAAAACCCTCGAGGATAAAGTTATAGTTTTCGGCTAAAGAAAGGCTCAATTTCGACTTTGGGAGATGCATCAAAATCCGCCATGATTTACAATATTAAAAATTTTTATGTGCTCTCGAATTGGGTAATTTTCTATTAATTCTTTTTAAATCATCATTTCCATTTTTTTTTAAAATAATTCATAGATTTTATGCAGTGTTCGTTTCTTTCTCTCCTTCCGTAATTATTCTATTTTTTTTAAAAATAAATATTTCTTCATTCCTTAACGCTCGACTAATAAGGTAAAATGTTTAATTTCAAATAAATTTATAAAAATATGATTTAGCATATAAATATGGGAAAAAATAAATTTACATAATTTAATAATCAGAAACAAAATAAGAATGGTTGCGCGCGACCAAAAACGCTTTTTAGAGATTTAATAAAAAATACTCTGAATTTTATTTTAGTTAGAACTTTAATTGGATAAAAATATCCACAATTTATGTAGAAAATTAAATGCTAAAAAATCTTTAAATATTTATGAAGATTTATTTGAGATTGTTCAAAGAATATTTTTGATTTAAATTTTCCCTAAAATTAAAATTTTTTCACGAGTAAGTCTTTTGTAATTTTTTATGCATTAAAAATAAACTTTCATGATCACATTTTTTAAAAAAATATCTTAATATTCTTTTAAAATAATCTCCAATTTGTGAACTTCAAAACATTTTTGCTTAAAATTTCTTTAGTTTATTTTAAGCTATTAAGTGAAATGATGGAAGAAAATTTATGATTTAATTTTACTAATGAATGTATTGTGGTGCTAAATAACAATTGTAAAAACATTTGCGCAAGAAAACTAACTGATTTTAAAAGAATTTCAATTTTGAAATTTCTTCCAAAAAAAATATAAAAATGTGAACGATTAATAATAATTATCTCCTTTTGTATCTTTGGTCTTCATCTTTATTTATTCCTTTCTTTTACCATTGTTTTTTCATTTCATTCATTAATTCCTGTTCTCATTTATTAAAATTTCATATTTCTTTACTTACTTACTTAATCTTTTCACATAATGCTTTCACCCCTTTATCAAAATATTATATAAAAAAATTAAGGATAAACCAATTATATATTAATATTATCTCCATTATATTAATAATGTAAATGTAATTATAATTTATATAATTATTTAACAAATATGACATAGCAACTATGTCATATTTCGGTAAAAAAAATTTTTTGATAAAAAGATTACAAATATATTTTTTCATAAGTATAATTGGAGAAAAATTTTTTTTTTCCAATATAATTTCGACTAAGAAATAATTGGATTTGGGGCAGACTTTCATTAGCCTGGATTATTTGACCAGACCCGGACCAGGTAATAAAAAAAATTTATGGCCCTAGCCCGACCCAGCTCATATTTAATATTTAAAAAATTCCCTAGCCCAGAAAAATTCTATTTTTAAAAATTTAATATATTGTATTCAATGAGAATAAGCAATATTTCAGTGTATTTAGGCAATCGTTGTTTGCAAAACTGTTTTTAAATAAACTAAATTAAGATAAGAAAAATTTTAGGGCCAAGCTAATTAAAAATATTTTTGAAAAACCAAAGACTAGAAAATATTTTATTAGGGGCCTATTAGCCGCGGGCGCCCTTGAAGGTGCCGGATTAGGGAGGAAGGTGGCTAATTTTTAGTAGAGAGGAATTTAAATATAAAAAAAATTCCCAAAATTATAAATAAATTAAAATCATAGATATGAAGTAAAACATAATAATATCAGGGTCGGGGAAGAGCTAACCAAGTTTTTAGTTAAAGACTAACCTCGGCTTTGGAATAGGTCAACCTAGAATATAAAAAAAACTCGCACCTCAATGCTTAGTTTATTTTATTTATAGCGATAGGTAAATTTTATTTCATTTTTTTTTAAATTTCTCTGAAGTAATGTCGATTATCTTTTTTGAAAAAAAGGAACATTAGTTACTTGAGTAACGAGTAATGTTTTTATTTTTTCTAAGTAACGGTTATTCAAAACGTTAATTTTAAATTTTTTCTTGTAAAATATAAAAAATTAATTTTTATAAATAATTAAGCCGAGTTTTTAATTTAGATCAACCATCAAAATTCTTTATTTAAATTTTATATATTACAATTTTGTTGTTGAATTTTATAATCAAGATTGCTATTCTAATTAATATTGAATAAATCAAGGTATGTTAATTTACATTCTCTAATATTAACATTTATAAAGAAAATGTCAATGGTAGAAGAAACCGGGGCACGTTAAGTACAGGGGAACGTCAGTCACTCCAATTATATTGGAAATTTATGCTTAATATCATTGTTGTTAAATGGCTCGATTTGGGTCAATTTTTTAAAATTGCTAACTCAATATTCTAGCCAGAAAAATATTACCAAAACCTTAGTGCCATCTTAACAACACCACATAATATAAATTAATACATCATACGTGATTGGCTAAAAAAAAATTATTAAAAATTTAGTATTTTAATTTTTACAGAAAATGGTTTTAGCATACCAAAGTAACAAAAAGTAATTGCAAACTTCTTCGTTTAGATTTGTAAATAAAGCTTTTAAAATATTAATAAATTAATAGGAAAGTTTAAAACCTTTTTTTCAATCTGACAATTTTTCAGAATCATAAAACATAGATTAATATGATTTTATATTTATAAAGTTAGTGGGCTGGGTCATGGTTGGTCCTATTAACTATTACATAATTTTCATTTTGATTAAAATGCAAATAAATTTTCAATTAATATTTATCAATCTAGATTATTAATTTTTAATATAACAAACCAATAATATTTATAATTTTTATAAAAATTCCTAAATTTCTTAAAATCTATTCCATTCAATTTACTTAATTATTGTGTATTATGATATTGGCAATAAATTAATATCCTTTAAAATCTTTAGTAATCATATCAAAAAAAATAATTATTTTTATATTTAGACAATCATTTCTTTGGACTAATTATAACCTATTGTTGAACCAACGAACCCAGAGTACGGCAAGGTTGGGCCCAAAATATTTTATTTTTCAAATTAATTTTGTATAAATGTATAGTTTCAATAAAATAATATATTAATTATTTCAAATGGCCTATTCTTTGAGAATTGATAAAACTTATTTATTCAGATTAGTTTAATATTATTAATTTTATTCAGGCTTGAACAAAACTTTCCAAACCTACCTTTGTTTTCCCTATTATTTTTTCAGGTGAAGATGATTTATCTTTACTCTGAACCAAGTATAAAACGCTTTTAACACAAATAAAGAAAATAATGCATCAAGTCTATACTTTGTAAATGTATGTGCTCTAATTCAAATATTTCAACCTCAATGTCGTGCAGCTCAAATATAAAAAAACATATGAATTCAGATTAAATTCTGTTATTTTTAATAAATTCCCATAATTTTTTAAGCCCTTCCAGGCTATATTTGTATAAAAATATATACGGATCGGGCCTGCAGGTCTTTAAGGCATGATTGTCATATTTAAGGGAAAGGGGTATACATCCTACCCGAGCTCGTTGCTCCCGTTTTTAGTATATTTGATGCCCCCCGCCGGAAGTAAAGCTTCATTCGAATTCGTGAAAATAATGGAACCGACGTTTAATCTTCTCTAGCTATTAAGATTTTAACAAAACTTTTTAGAATATTGACGTCTAAATAAGTTGGTTTTAAATGATATAAACATAATCTTAATATTTTGTCACCAGATGCAAAAATATATACGAGCAAAAAAGGTTATAATTGGAATTCAGGGGAATATCAACCAAAGCCATAACTAGGGAAGGAGGTGGTATTTGAAAGGAAATGTTTTAAATTTAATCGAAATTAAACCAGGAATGTGAACCCGAACCAGGACCCAATATTTTTTAAAAAATAATATTAAATTTTTTAAATTTTATTAACTTTTTTTCTTGGAATCATTTATTTTATATTTACATTTCTCTTTCAATTTTCTTCCTGGACTTCCATTTTATTTAGAAATTGATATAATAAATTATTTTCTGGTGTAGGTAATAATATTTCATTATGTAAATTTATTAAAAGATTTCCCCACAAATATATATTGCATCAGATGTGCAGCCCATACTCTATAATTGGCTATTAATGATTGCCTAAAAAATAAACACTTTAAAACCATCATTGCTAAAGCAAGGGATGTTGTAAAATATTTAAGAACTCCCATATTAAAATCAATAAAAAGATCAAGACAATATTAGGTTGCAACACGTTGGTCCTCAATTTGTATGCTAGTAGAACGATTATTAAGTTTGAACGATTTCTGCAATGATTTTATTATAGGAGCATGTGAAGTCATTTTGCCGGAAGATGATTGGTGCCAATAAAGGACCTATTAGTATATTACTTCCTTTAATAATATAAGATTGTAATCAGAACAAATATGTTTATCTGATTTTTATGGCATATGAATTAGATGTGGAAAGATTTACTAGTCCTTTTTCATATGAAATATTAGAA